GTGGGAAATGTGCACCTGTGAAGGGATGGGTATTGGAACATTGTATGACTGAAATCTAATCATGAAAAACCTTGTAACTGTGTCTATCTCAATGATTCAATTTAAAAAAATAATCACTTTCTCCTTTCCTCTACACCTTGAGCTTCAGGTGGGTCTCAAACGCAAGAGCATATCACTAGTTTTGAGCCAACCCCATGTCCCTTTACCTTGGTCACAGCGGCTGTCCAGGATAAACATGCATCCCACTTAGAGCTAGTAACAGCCACAGGAGTTTTTCTGAATGTCTTGAGAAAGAAACCCCCTCTTTTTCCTAAGACATATGGAAATTAAGCAACCATATTTCTGGAGCCAATCCACAGAGTGACAAAGTGAGTATGTGGCAAGAAAAGCAAGATTCCCAGACATTCTTTGGGCCCTGAATCAAGTTAAGATGAAAGCTGATCTCCCCCTTGACTTTTCATTTAAGAGAGAGTTAATAAATTTAATAAATTTTCTTTTATAAATATTAGTTTGGAATAAAAAAAAACTGGCTTCAGTGATACAAAATCCAACCAAACCTGGAGAATTGTAAGGGCAGACACCTGAATTTAGTCTCACAAACTAAATCAGAGACCACCTGAAGTTTGGTGGGGATATAAGATTTGTTATAAAGATGTATGTTGACTTAAACCAGAATTGGGAAGGCTTTGGGGATAGCCAATAGTGATATAGAAAGAGCCAAATGCTGCTTGCTTCCTTCCTTTCTTCTTTCTTTCTTTCTTTCTTTCTTCCTTTCTTTCTTTCTTTCTTTCTTTCTTTTTCTTTCATCTTACTTTCTTTTATTGAATCACCATAAGATACAGTTACAAGCTTTCATGTTTGAGTTACAATCATACAATGATCAAACACCCATCCCTCCACAGTGCACATTCCCCACCACCAATGTCCCCAGTATGCTCCTCCTTTCCCACCCTCCCACTGCCTCTATGGCAGATAATTTCCCCCATTCTCTCTCTCTCTCTCTCTCTCTCTCTCTCTCTCTCTCTCTCTCTCTCTCTCTCTCTCTCTCTCTCTACTTTGGGGCATTATGGTTTGCAATACAGATATTGAGAGGCTATCACATTTGGTCCTTTATCTACTTTCAGCACACATCTCCTATGCAGACCAATCCCACCAACTATCATCTTCTTACTGATCCCTTCTCTATTCCAGCTGCCTTCTCCCCCAGCTCATGAGGCAGTCTTCTGACTATGGAGCAATCTTCCTGGCCCTTGTGTCTACTGTCCTTGGGTGTCAGGATCATGCTATGTTATTTTATACTCCACAAATAAGAGCAGTCCTTCTATGTCTGTCCCTCTCTTTCTGACTCATTTCACTTAGCATGATATTCTCCATATTTGCTTAGTGGATAGACCTGGAGAATGCCACTGCTGCTTTCTACGGAAGACAGAAGACACCCTGTGCCACTATTAGCACCAACTAGCACCCTCTAGTGACACAAAATTGCTGTGTTTCAAAACAAGTTACCGAAGCTCCCTGCTCTTCCTAGTCCATGCAGTTCTAATATTTTTAGGCACTATGATTTATAATAATGATGGTGGCATGGTTTCATGAAAAACCATCTCACTCTTAATGCATCCATCCTTTCTTAATCATCCATTGCAGAGCACTACCTCTTGCTATTTTCACAATTCAATATTAGAGACACAGGTCATCTTTAATGTCATAGGAAAACACACAAGTTCCAGCACGCCAATAGACTCAGGTCCTGGGTCAAGTGTCCTCTCACATTCTGGGGTCACTAGCTGTCACTTCTGCTTTAACGGCCTCTTCTTACATGTCTTGTAAAACTGCAGAGGGCTATTATAGTAGCTATTACTCTTCTGGCTTCAAGATAGCAGAAGCCCAACTCAAAAGGACTTTCCTTTGGCTTTTTAGAGTCAGGAGTCCAAAACAGTCAGACTTGGCTGGACCCACAGGCCCAAATGATGCCATTAGAACCTGGCATCTCTCCATCTCTGTTAGTCAGGCTTTCCATATGTACGTGGCTCTCAGCAGTTTCCTGATTATGCCCTCACCACTCTGAGTCCATGGGGAAAAGTTTAAGGAGTTGAAAAACAATGCCAAATTACTGCATTAGCTATTATTGTTATTAGAACTCCCCAAAGTTCTCCAAAAATTCTAGATTTGAGTCATAGAGAATTAATGCGAATCACCACCCAGCTCTTAACCATCACTGTGACCTAAGAAATGTAAAAAATCTGAGACTAGCCAGCACTGCATCTCATTGGTCTTGGCTGGTCCATGAACTTCAATCTATCACTGAAACTCTGGAATCAAGGCCAGCTCTAAAGCATAGGGTGGATGGGGTCAATCACACACGAGCCATTATTACTAAGAGTGGGTGGTGAGTTCTCCGAGAACAGGAGGGGTACCATTGTTTTAGAAGGAGAAGACCCCAAATGTTTTTCTCCCCTCATCCCCTCATCATCATCTTCTTCTTCTGTTTTTCTCTTCAACCTCCTTCTCTCTCTCTCTCTCTCTCTCTCTCTCTCTCTCTCTCTGTCTGTCTCTCTCTCCTCTTCTCTCCTCTCCCCTTCCCTATTTCTTTCTCTCTTTTCTCTGTTGTGCATGCCCAACCCAGACTTGGTCCCCATCACCAGAGTTCCCCAAGCCCTGTCAAAAGTGATTTCAGAAAACAGCTAGGAATAATCCCTGAGCACTACTCAGTGTGTAATACTACCTCTACACACTACTAGTATATAGTACCCCAAACAAAAATAAAGATAATGAATGGAGTATTTTCTCCCCTGTAGATCCCATGACCATTCCATGGTCCTGATGAGATTCTGGCCCCCATCTATGGACCCATCACCGTGGCCTGGGTCACAGTCAGGGCCTCAAGACAGGGATGAGCTGGGCATGTGGGAAAGGGGAAGAGATCAGCTCTATCAGTCACTGCATGGACACAGAGAGAAGCATCGTTCTGGGGAAAGGAAAGACAGATGTTCTTGCGGGAGAGAGGACCAAAAGCCTGGCAGGGGGCAGGAAGGAGGACAAACACGTAGGGAGCAGAGACCCTTCCCAGGAGGTGGGGAGGACACAAAAACTCTGACCTCCATCCCAGGACTCTGGGTACTTAGCCCTGGGTGAGACACCTGTGGGGTCAGCAGGATGAGGTGCGGGGGCTGAGGGGGAGCCTCTGACACCAGCAACAGTAGTAAATGCTCCCTCCAAGTTCCTCCAAAGAAGGGGCAATAGGAAATGAAGGCTGAGGCCTCCTTCATAAAGTCAGAGATGAGAGACAGCACTGATGAGGGAAGGCCCTTCCCCACTGTGCTCCGGAGGTGAGCAGGCCAGAATTTACATAAATGTGACCAGCACCATCTTCCACGTGGCCCTGAAAGTGCCCTTTATCCTGCTCGGGCCTCTCTGTTCCTAAGTGATGAGAGATGACACTTCCTCAGACCGAGCTGCTTCTTAAGGTTAATTGAAAGTGGCCTTTCCCGTGAATCATCCATTGCACTGAATTATTCATCACCTGCAGACATTTGCAGGCCTTTCAACACTTGGTTTCCTGCAGCCCTCCTTGGAAACACTCCTGCCCATGGAAATATGACTTGCTTCGCCCATGGCAAAGAGAAACCCTGCCTGCTGCTGCCTTCAGATTCCTCAGTTTCCAGAGATTCAATCAGGAGCGAGATCTGCAAACAGGAATTAGGGCCAGGCTGCAGGCTGGCAGGCAGGACACTGGGTTGAGGAGGGTTGGCTCCAGGGCTGTTCTCCGAGGCCTCATGGGACAGTGGGAGGGAACCCAGCATGGTCATGTCCACAAGAAATGACCTCCTGGGGCCTGCTGTGAGCCTCTCATCTGATCAGAGGAGAGGAAAGGAGAGGAATGAGTGGGGCAGGGGCCAGATCTGGTCCCACCTCTCATTCAGAGGGTTATAAAATGCCTTTGACTTGTTTTCATGAACTGAGGTGGTGGCTCTGATCCTGCAGGGTGGGGTGCGGGAGTCAAACTGGAGGGCAGAGTGGGGATGGATGCAGCAGTTCTGGGGAGGGGTCACAGAGACCTGGGATGTCCTTGGAGGCGATAGAAATGGACAGAGGAGGGCCTGGCGCAGTAGTACAGTGGGTAGGGTGTTTGCCTTGCACACAACTGACCTGGGTTCTATACCCATATCCCATACAATCCCCTGAACACCACCAGAAGTAATTCCTGAGTGCAGAGCCAGAAGTAACTCCTGAGCATTGCCCCATGTGATTTAAAAAGCAAGCAAGCAGAAAGAAAGAAAGAAAGAAAGAAAGAAAGAAAGAAAGAAAGAAAGAAAGGGAAAGGAAAGGAAAGGAAAGGAAAAGAAAGGAAAGGAAAGGAAAGGAAAGGAAAGGAAAGAAAAGAAAAGAAAAAGCAATGGAGAAGCAGCCAGAGAGGAGACAAGGGTCCAGGACAAGCACAGCATGGGGGGAGGAGAAATGGGCAGCTCTGGACATGGCATTTCCTGATGGGCGAAAGATATTCCCTTTCCCAGAGCACCCACTTCTCCCTACACCCAGAATAGACCAAGTGCAGCTCAGGGCTTAGAGCACATGCAGTCAGATCAACTAGATGGATCAGGCAGCATGTGTGTGTATGTGTGCATCTAAGTGTGTATGTGTGTGTATGTGTGCTTCGGCATTTCAGAGGGGATCACAAAGAGCTTACATGGGGCTTGCTACAGTCTGCTCCCAGCCATGGGATACACTGAGAACTCCAGCAGCAGGAAGACAGTGGATGCAAACTGTCTCCCCCGGAGAACATTGTGCTCAGTTTAATAGTGACTCCAAAGAAACCCATCCTAATTTCCCAGAACCCAGAACCCTGCATGGCCAAAGGTGATTAAGGCTCCTGAGATGAGATCATCCTGGATTATCTGAATAGGCCTCATGTAATTCTAAGGAACCTTATAAGAGGTGGGGGGGGGGGGCGGGAAATGGGTGTGAGGTTGAAGGGGATTTGGAGAGATTAGAAAATCCTGGTCATGGTCCTGGAAACCATCAGCAGAGAAGGGGTTAACTTCCAGACGATTTCTAAAAGCTGGAAAAGACTAGAGATGGAGTCCCTCAGCCTCCAGAGAAACACAGTTCTTGGGCCTGCCTGTCTCCTGCCCTCTGGCTTGGGCACACATCAAGGTACTGGTCCTGAGAATAAGAAAAGAAACTAATGGCGACTTCCTGAGGGAAGATGGGAGGGTTGAGAGACCCATTTCCTGACACTGTCTCAGAATCTGGATTCTCCAGACACTCTGCCTGAGACATCCCACTCCCCTCCAGCTCCTAACAGTGCTTCAGAACTCTAGGGAGAGAGACCCACTAGGCAAGACTGTTTCCCTGTAAGAAGGGGTGGGGCCCTACCTCCTTATCACCCTATACCAGAGAGTGGCCCACTGTCTCCGTGCAGGGGGTGACCCAAGATTTCCACACCTTCCCTGCTAGGCAGGGGCAACCCAGGCTGACTCACCAGCTCATCCAGGTCTCAGGCAGATGCATTGCTGGCACACTGACCACCATCAGAGGAGAAGAATCCCCTGCCCACTCCACCCCCCTGCCACACACACACTCACACACACACAACCTTCAAGGTTGTAAATCAGACAGACCACCATAGGTGACAGGGGCTCTGAGCTCTCAGATGCCGTACCAGCCTGCCACCCACACACTCTGCAGGCTCTTTAGAGTGTGCCTGCTCCCTGGGAGAGAGCCTGAAGAGCCCCTTCGGCTAGCTGGATAGGGGCAGCCTGGGGTCTACTAACAACCACTATAGTAACCGGCCAGGCCCGCTCTGTTCAAAGAGCCGTTAATGTTAAATTCAATTGCTGTGGCCCCTACCTCCTCCAACAGCTGCTCTAACGCCCCCTCAAAGACATAATCTGGGAGGAGCCCTGTCACCCACCCACCCGCAACAGTGCGTGGAGCTGCAGCACTGGCCCACAGGGCCTGCTCTCCCCACACTCCTTCACCTGTTGGGGTTGCTGGGGAGAGGGTGCAAAGATCCGGAGTTCGGGCTGTGCGTGCAGGATCCCTGCAAAGGGCTGGTGGAGGCATGGCAGGGGTGGGGGTGGGGTGGGTTGTTCCCCATGTCATAAGATTCTATGGCGCGGTGGCCACAGCCGGGCCCACACCCAGAGTAGCCCCTGATCACCTCCTGTGTGGGTCCCAAACGCAATCCTACCAACCAACCAGGCACAGACCCACTGCCTGGGGATGGGGCGTGGGGCACCTGCTCAGGTGGGCAGCGCTGGAGATGAAGACCCCTGGACGAAGCGCTAAGACTGGGGACCCAGGGATTGTCCCCGCAGCAGGACCTGGCGCAGACGACTTGGTCTGCGCAAAGTGGACATGCATCCCGGCCGGCACCTTGCTGGTTCCGGCGGCCAGTGACAAGGGTCAGTAGTGGAACTGGTCCTGGAGACCGGCGTGGAGGGCCCTTGCAGTCCACCGGGTTCCCAGCGTTCCGGGAGCCTCGCGCGCCCCGCCCTGCCGGGTGCCCTGCAGTGTCCAGGAGCGCCTGGTTTTCCCCGCCCGGGCGGAGCTGCGGTCCCCGACTCTCGGTGCTGCTGCTGCTGCCGCCGCCCGGTACCGACGCGCGACCAGGGACCGCCCCTCGCGCCCGCCCGACGGCGCTTTAAAGGCGGCTCTGCCGAGCGGGCGCAGCGAGACTCGGAACCACGGCGCACAGGTTGGGCCAGCCGGGCAGCCCCATGGAGGGTAAGTGCCCCTCTGCCCCTCCCCAGGGTTGCAGAGCTCCCCTGCGTCCGCAGCCCCAGCCCCAGCCCTGCATCCGACTCCTAGAGAGGTACCAGGGGCGGCGTGGAAAGGGAAGCCAGCCCCTTGCAGAGGAGTCAGAGAATGTGGGGGTCTCTCCTCGCCAGCCAGCGCTCTTGGTCCAAACCCGCACCAGACGCACCTTCTCTGTCCCGCCAGGGTGGCTGGCTCCCGCCACAGCCCCTGGGCAGGAGTCACTGAGGCTCTAACAAACCTGGGGATGTAAGTGCAGACTCTGGGCTTCTCACTCCTGCTCATGCCCCTTCGCCCTCACCCCCTGTCCAGAGCGATCCTGCGGGCAGGTTTTGGAGAAACTTGGAGAATCCCAGCCTCTGGGGTTTCAGCACCGTGAATACAAGGCTCTGGGTGCAGGCTAGTTCACCACCTCCTAACCCTGCCCACATCTGGGCTCCCCTTCAGGCCTGAACAGGAAGCCAAGGGGTTGAAGGGGCTGGGAAATGTCTGCTCAGATGGTCAAGACTTGTTTCAGCCAGAATCCCAAGTCCCTCGTCAACAAATAGGCTCTGCCCTGGTTCACAGATGCCACAGGAAATCGCTTTTCCTCTGAGTGCCCGCAGAGCCCAGCCTGCAGCAGCCCCTCCCCAACAGAAGCCTGATTCCTTGCCACTCCTGGGGTCCAAAGCAGGGAAGGGAGCAGGCTGGGGTGGGGAGGGGAGTGGCTTCCCCAGACCTCTCAGACCTGGTGGTCTTGGCCCCCAGAGCTGGTGGCCCTGGTGATCGGGGCTTTCGCCGGAGGACTGCTAATTCTACTCCTGATTGGGATGAGCTGCTATCTCTGGAAGAGGCTTCGCGCCACTTTCATCTATGAGGAGCTGCCAGGGGCCACAGCTGTGCCTAGTATCCAGGAGGACAAGCTCTGTCCGCCAAGGGCCAGAACCCAAACAAGCAGGTGAGGCCAGGTGTGGGACCTGAGCAAACTCACAGCCTTGCTTAAGACCCTCTCCACAGCATTCCCTTGGAGGGGTAGGGGAGGGAAAGATGTCTCTGAGCGCCCTGTCCAGGCCAGCACCTTCTGGCAGCGATCACATGGAAACTCCAGGCACCTTCACACAGAACCCAAGGCGGCGCAGGCTTTAGGAAGCCCACTGGCATCTGCAGAATTCTGGGTTCCAGGAACCTTAGCAAGTACCAGGCTCAGACAACAAAATGAGTAAGTGGCAACTAGGCACAGAGCCCAGCAGGCTGGCTCCAGACAAGTGCTCCTTCTCCAGCTCCCTCCTGCTGCTGGCTTCTATGTGTGCCTGCGTGTGCAAGTTTATGACTGTGTGCCTGGGTGTGTGTGCCTGTGTGTGATGGTACATGTGTGTATGTCTGTATGCATGCGTCTCTGTGCACCAGCATGCATGCATGTGTGTATGTGTGTATGTGTGTGTGTGTGTGTGTGTGTGTGTGTGCGCGTGTGACCTGGTGTGGGCTCAGAAAATGGTGTTCTGGAGCTGGAGTGATAGTACAGCAGGTAGGGCATTTGTCTTGCATTCAGTCTACCCAGGTTCGATCCCCAGCATCCCATATGGTCCCCTGAGCAATGCCAGGAGTAACTCCTGTGTGCAGAGTCAGAATTAAACCCTGAGTATCACCAAGTGTGAACCAAAAAAGCTGAGAGAGAGAGAGAGAGAGAGAGAGAGAGAGAGAGAGAAGAAAAGTGGTATTCTATCCTCTCCCGGGATCCCTCTGGCATTTCCTCCTCCATCCTGTATTCATCCTCTCCGAGCTGAGCTTTCTGAAGCTGTTTGCCTGAGCAGCATGGTGCCTCAGCAGCCACCTCCATGTTGTCTCTCTGGCTCTGGACAGACCACCATCGGTGCCCTTTGTGGTGGCCCCATCCTTCCAAGGCCAAGACTGGGTGCCCCTGCACAGTGGAGAATGGGCCAAGGCCCCCGCAGACCCCTGCCAGGCCTCAGAGCTCCTGCCCCACACCTGGAGCAGCAAACCTGGTGAGTCTTCCCCACAGGCCCCGACTGGGGTTGGGTGCACTGCCAGGGTGCAGAGCTGCCACCCAGCTGTGTGACTCTCAGCAGGACCTGGGTTTCCATGGGGTGCCTGCTTGCCCCCAAGCTGGGCCGGGTAGCTCCTAGCCCTATAGCTCCTAGCCCGACTGTATTTAGACCACCCTCTGCCTCTGTTTGTGAGGCATTTCCAGCCCGTCTTACACAGATTGAGATTTGGAAGGCTAGCCTAGGGCAGAAGCACCCCAGCAGGGATGGAACCCCAGTGTGCAGGAGAGGCTCCAGGAGAAGCGCTTGGTAGATCTGGAGGGCTGGCATGTGGTCACACAATTTTTGGCGGCCTACTGCTTTGCTTGGAAAACTTCCAAACAGACCTTCTTGGGAAGCTCCCAGTGACCAGCTGGGCCACCGAAAATGGCCAGGTTGGGTGCTGGGCCCTGAATTCTGGGGAGGGGATTTGATCACAAGGGTCAGAGGCCAGATGACTTCTGTGGACTTCACAGGGCCCCGGGGAAGAAGCAGTGCAGTGGCTTGGTGCTGCCAAGCAGCCTTGGGAGAAATACAATAGGGAAGGGAGTGTTCACTCTGGAACAGAGAGTGAGCAAGTGGGTGGGTGCAGGAGAGTCAGTGAACGGCCTAATGGCTCAGTGAGATGAGACAGGCAGGGGAGTGGGGGAGCCCAAAGCCTGCTGCCTCCTTCCATCTTCTCTGTCCTGTTTCCTAGGAGACCCGTGTGTGGTGGGGACCATCAACTCAGAGCTGTCCAAAGTCCCAGAGGACCAGAGCGAGTCAGACTTCCCCGAAGGCTGCCTGGGACGGCTGTGGTTCTCCCTGGAGTACCATCAGGAAGCCGAGAGGCTGTTGGTGGGCCTGATGAAGGCACAGCGGCTGCAAGCCCCCTCCGAGTCCTGCGGCACCCTAGTGAAGCTCCACCTGCTGCCAGACGAGAGACGCTTCCTCCAGTCCAAGGCCACGGGCGAGCCCAGCAACCCGCACTTCGACCAGCGCTTCCTCTTCCAGGTTCGGTGGTTGGGTGATTCGGTCTCTGGGACATCAGGGTCTGCTGTGCTCTGACCTCCAGGCAGGGAGCAGAGACTGTGCCGACTATCCCCTTCTCTCTGTGCTAGCAGGGATAATGCTCCGAGTTTTCTCTCCCCCTCCCCCAGTCCACCCTGTCTCTATGGCACGCACTGTTCTTCTTTTCTTTATGGCATCTCTCTCTCTCTCTTTCTCTTTCTCTCTCTCCCCCTTCCTCCCTCCCGCTCTCCTTTGGTGCATTTTGGTTTACAATATAAATACTGAGAGGTTATCATGTATGTCCATTTACCTCCACTCAGCACTCAGTTCTTGTCCAGACACTCAGTTCATCTCAGTTCATTTCCTTTTTTTGGGGGGGGGGGGTCTCACCCGCTGATGCTCAGGGGTTATTCCTGGCCTTGCACTCAAAAATTACTCCTGGCGGTGCTCGAGGGACCATATGGGAAGCTGCGAATTGAACTCGGGTTGGTCGCGTGCAAGGCAAATGCCCTACCCGCTGTGCTATTGCTCCAGCCCCTCAGTTCATCTTCAACTGTCATTGTCTTGCTGGTCCTTTTTCTATCTGAACTGCCCTCCCCCACCTTTCCACTTGTGGCAAGGAAGCTTGTTTTTTGATTTTGTTCTTGTGTCACACCCAGTGATGCTCAGGATACACCCAAGGATCACTCCCGGCAGAGCTCGGGGGACCATATGGGGTGCCAGGGATTGAACCAGTCAGCCACATGCAAGGCAAGCACCACCTTCCCCACTGTACTATCTCTCCAGCTCTGCCTCTCACACTTTTATGTGCACACTACTGCCTTGGGTGTCCTGTCTACCTGGGAATTTCTTCTCATGGTCTGGGATGAGATACAAGGTCCTGCCTTTCTAACAGGGTCAGGGGAGGGGAGGGTTGGCAGACGCAGACCTAAGACCACACTGCGAGTGGCTCCAGGATGCTCCAGTTCTGGCACATACTGAGTCCAGTGTGAGAAGGACCCAGAGAAGGCTGGTTTGTGTGTGCAGGTCTCTGGTTGAGATGAACCCTTGCAAAAGCTCCTGGGTTCAGACAATGCACCACACCACTCCATCCTCATCCCTACCCATGGCTCACCCCCGCCTGGACCATCCTTGCCCACCAGGTTTCCAGCAGAAGCATCGCACAGCGGGTGCTGAGGTTCTCGGTGTACCACATGGACAGGCAGAGAAAGCAGCAGCTCCTGGGCCACGTGCTGTGTCCCCTCAAGAACGAGACCCTGGCTGCTGGCTGTCCACGCATCATCTGCAGAGACCTGGAACCTGAGAGCCTGGAGGTGAGGTCAGGGTCATCAGATGCTGCCACCCACTGACCCAGGGCCACCATATGTGCAAGTGTGACTCAGAGTGTGGGCCTGGTGGGGGCCATGAAGGATAACCAAGTGTGGGAGAATGACGCCTCTCTGAGGCTCTAGAAGCCCCTTTGTCCTGGAGTAACCTCAAAAACTGAACTTTGGGATTTGAGAGATAGTACAGGGACTGAGGTGAATGCCTTGCACATGGCCAACACTGGCTCGATCCTAAGCCCTGCCAAGAGGGATCCCTGAGCCAGGAGTATGTCCTGAGCACACTCGGGTATGACCACCCACATCATCCCCACTCCCCTTCACTCCCCACCCCCACCACCCCATACACATGCACCTCTGAATTCCCATCTAGGTCTGGTAGATATGAAAAGTGACTCCTTGAACAGAAATGGGCCAGCCCAGGAAAATATTTACCCCTATTCTTCCACCCAGAAGTCCTTCAGAGTAGCCCTTGGCTGCCCCCGTTCCCCTGGGTTAAGCCCTGGAGTTCTAGTCCTCACTGCTGTGAAGCCCATTGGCTTTGCTGACTTCATTCCCTCAGGTGGTGGGTTGACTATGGTTGACAATGGGGTGAGGAGTTGGTCCATGCCTGACAGCTGGGAGCAGGAGGAAGGGGCCGTCCAGCACCCAGACTGACTAGGGTCTATTCGTCTCACCCTTCCAGGCTCCCTCAGAGCTGGGCGACTTGCAGTTCTGCCTCAGCTACAGCAACAGCCTGAACCGCCTCACCGTGGTCGTGCTGCGCGCCCAGGGCCTCCAGCTCCAGGAAGATGTGAGCTTTGCCAGTAAGTTTCCCCCTCGGTGTGTTTTGCCCTGTGAGCCAAGGGCTGGGACCCTGAGTCCCAGCTATCCAGAGGCTACTGGTCGAGGGCCCAGAGTGAGTGACAATGAGTGACAAAGCGCTCATTCCTCAGGCGTCCTGTTCCAGAGAGCTGTGTGGGAGATGGCCGGAGGTTGAAGCCAAGGCTGTACCCCTGGCCTCCATCAAGGCCTTCCCTCTTCCCACGGCAGCTTCTTGGGTCTTTAACAATACCCTCTGCGAAGGAGTCCTCATACCCCAAGCGAAACCCCCTACCTTCCTGCCCCCAAAAAAGGAGGTGCATGGGATAGGCTGACCCTTGCCTGAGTAACAAGGCCTTCCCCGTGGCAAGCAGCCTAGAGTGCTGCTTCCTCGGGCCTCTGGGAACCCGTGTCCCCCTCAGGTCACCCACTCGTCTCCCCCAGCCAGGGGGCTCTGACTCAGGAAGCTGACATTCATTCAGCCTTCCACTGTGGATCCCAACCTGCAGGAACCCTGCCCCCTACAAACTTGGTCTTCAGAAGGGGAAGTGTTCAATGTGCTGTAGAGGGGACCGGGCTATGGTAAAACCAGGCTCAGACTTGGGATGGGCAGAGGAAGGCAGAGGAGGGGCTAGATGTCTCCTCAACTCTCAGACATCTACCCATCTGTCCCCTTCCTCTTGTGATTCCCTTCCGGATGCCCTGGCACTAAGTCCCGGGTTCCTGATACACAGTCTGGTGGCCTCCCTTGGTGGGGTACCGGGCCCGGCCCACCTCTTCCAGGCACCCTTTCCACTGGTCCTCAGGTGTGTTTGTCAAGGTGTCTCTGTTGAACCACAACAAATTTGTCAAGTGCAAGAGGACATCGACCGTGCTGGGCTCTGCCGACCCTGTTTACATGGAGACCTTCAGCTTCGGGGTCCACCCCGATGAGCTGGACACCGCCAGCCTCAGCCTGATGGTGCTGCAGGGCACTGAGGAAGCCGGTAAGGCTGTGGCCCATTGCTGGGCTGTTGCAAGAGCTGGTAAAGAAGAAGCTGAGCATGCAGGCAGCATGGTCTTGGGGGCCGGGGTTCTGCTTGGGAACACGGTCAACACTGGCCATGTTCCTAAGGGAACCTGCGTGGCCAGGCTCGAAGATACTCTAAGCGACTTGCCCAAGGAGAGCGGGGGCACTCACCCAGCTTCATCTCTGTTCCACTGTCATGACCCCTGAAAGGAAGAACCCTGGGACTCACTCTTGGGCAAGTTTCCCAAGTGACTGACAGTGGGTATGAGGTTGGGGGCAGCTAAGTGACCTGTGGCTGTGAGGCCATATCTTCCCTGCAATGTTTCCCTCCTTTCATTTTTATTTATTTAACTTTTTAAAAATTTTATTGAATCACCGTGAGATAGTTACAAGCTTTCGTGTTTGGGTTACAATCACACAATGATCAAACACCCATCCCTCCACCAGTGCACACTCCCCACCACCAATATCCCCGGTATACCCCCCCTTTCCCACCCTCCCCCTGCCTCCATGGCAGACATGATTCCCCATAATCTCTCTCTACTTCTGGGCATTATGGTTTGCAATACAGACTCTGAGAGGTTACCATATTTGATCCTTTATCCACTTTCTGCACACATCTCCCATCCCGACCGATTCTTCCAGCCATCTTTTTCTTAGCAATCCCTTCTCTATTCCAGCTGCCTTCTCCCCTTTGCTCATGAGGCAGGCTTCCAGCTATGGAGCAATCTATCTGTCCCATCTATCTACTATCCTGAGGTGCTTTTACACAAGTTTAGGCTCCTGGGTGAGTTGCCCAGCCAGTGACGCCACATTTGCCCCCCACCTTGGGTCCACTGTCCCTGCCTGAGAAGGCAGAGCCATGGTCAGCTTGTCTCGTGGAACAGAGCTGACAAGTCATCCCCTCCATGGCCCACGGCAGGGGCAAGCCCTCGAACCTTCCTGCTGAGTCCCTAAGGGGGCTGGCAGAGGAGAGCTTTCTGGAGAGTCCCCTGCCTCCCCCATCTCTTTGACTTGAGGCATGCTGCGTGTCAGGAGGCTGAGGGTCAGAGTTGTGCCCCCCAAAATGCAGACTCTCCACCCAAGCCCCTTTATCCAGAATGCAAATTCAGGACCACTTCGGATGACTGTCAGCTCATGCTTGGGAGAGAGAGGACTTGCTCCCTCTTCCCTGGGTGAGAGAGAGTGGGGAATATAGAGGTGCAATGTGACTTCTGTGCCCTGGAGAATAACGGTCTTTTCCCCTTTGCAGAGAGCCACCCACTGGGCAGGGTGGTGGTGGGTCCCTACATGTACGCCCGAGGCCGAGAGCTGGAGCACTGGAATGAGATGCTCAACAAGCCCAAGGAGCTAGTGATGCGCTGGCATGCGCTTTGCTGTGCCGCCGAGCCCTGACTCTTGGTCTGGAACCTCAAATCGATTTCACCCTCTTTGACAGTCGTGTGAGACAGACACAGACACGGATGCTTCATCCAGCATCTCACTGGGTTGCGGGGCCAGCCCGAGCCAGGGGAACACTGGTGTGCAGGAGGCAAGAGGAGCCCAAACCAGGTCTGCAGTGTGACCAGCTCCAGCTCACCAGCCTGATGGGCCTTCCCGACTCTTCAGGCTTCGGAGTCCCGGCTTCCTGGTGGTCACAGCCCAGCTTGGATCTGCATCTCAGAAGTCAGAAGAAATGTTCTATTTCACAGGAGCTTAGGCCTGTTTTCCACCATCTTGAAAAACTGCTGATGTGTTGATGCTAAACCAGCACTGTTTTTCAAATGTGGATCCTTGGTCTTCTGGCCAAGAAAAAAATAATGGGTAGGTCAGGGATCATTTCAGTTGGTACACAACTCATTGGTCCAACTAAGATGGTCTAGGGACTCATTTGGTCCACAGTACAGAGCATAGTCTGAGATGAAGCTGCCAAGTGCAGTCTTGAGCAGCACCTGTAACAGGTAACAATCACCTCACCTGTGCCTTAGGTTCCTCTCGGGACTATGGCTACCCATCTCCCATCACATCACCTTAGTCTAAACCTTCACAGCCCTGGTCGTACAGGTTCTGCTCCTGGTTTCTGTGGTCTCACTGATTAACAGAGTTCAGCTCCTGCAATTCTCACTCTGGGCCGGAAATGGTGGAAACACATGGCCAAGACATGACCCACAGGGTTGAGAGCTTTTCCTGTAAAGCTAGAAATTCCATTATGTTGGCTGTGGTGGTAGGTGTGGTGTGAAATGCACTGAGATAAAAGTTCCCGCAAACCACAGCCATCAACTCCCCCTGAAGTTAGAGGTCAGGAAATTGTGTTTGTCATGACTGCAGCTTGCATTTCCTCCTTGCACATTCAATGCACTGTTATTGTATAGCTAGAACAAAGCTATAAATCACTATCATCTCTTAGCAGTGAAGAAACCTCAACAAAAGATGGTAGGTAGCAAACTTACATTCAATCTGTGCCTCTTTGACTTCACAAATACAAGTTAGACCTGTCAGTGGTCCATGTGGACAGAATATTTTGTGTTTGTTTTTTCTCATTTATTTTACGTACATATTTTCAACATAGTACACACTCCAGCAATTTTTTTTTTTTGTGGGGAGGGCATGCGACTGGGCCACACTGGCAATACTCAGGGTCTATCTCTGGCTTTGTGCTTCAGGGACACTCTCAGTGAATGCTTAAGGGACTATGTGGTGCTGGGGATTGTACCTGAACTTTGTACATGCAAAGCGAGCACTCCAGTCCTTCAAACTATCTCTCTGGCCTAACACTTCAGTCATTTCTAATATGCCACAGAGCTCTATGTTCACATAGCAGTCTACCACAATGGGACTGTTTCCATTCCACCTGGAGTACTGAGACAGTGGTGCTCACATGCCAAGGTGAGGTCCATGCCTGCTGATACACTCTCCCGGACCAGTTGGAAAATGTGGTACAAAGCCCCTTTGCAGGACGGGGCTGCAGCAATAGCACAGCGGGTAGGGCGTTTGCCTTGCATGCAGATAACCTGGGCTTAATTCCCAACATCCCGTATGATCCCCCTAGCACTGCCAGGAGTAATTCCTGAGTGAAGAGCCAGGAGTAACCCCTGTGCATCGCCAGGTGTGACCTAAAAAGCAAATAAATAAATAAACAAAGCCCCTTTGCAGGATAAGGTGGATTGGGGTGTCGGACTCAAACTGGAGAATCTCAGTGAACAAGATGATCACGTCTCTCCTGAAGAGGAGGAAGAAAGGGTTGCTGTATTGTCTAACTCCTGTCTATTGACAAAGCCAAGGCAAAAACACACAAGTGCTTCCCACAAACCAGAGGAAGCTGGCCTGGGATGTTTCAAATGTTAAAAGTGACTTCCACAGGAAGGTCCTTCACATTTCCATAGAGCCACTTAGAATAAATTTACCTATTTCCACACTAGAAGAGGGCTAGAATTTGATATTTCATGAAGTGCACAGATCAGGCAGGCCATTTGACATCTTTACAAAACTGAATCTTTAGCCTACTAAACCTGCTGTGTCCCTCCATCTGTTCATGTTCCCCTCAAGTTTTCCTAAAATTGTTCTGTGGGTTTCAGTAAAATGTTCTTGCATACCTTTCATTAGACTTATTCTTGGTGATGTTACATTTTAATTGCTAGTATAGAACAAGAACAAAGAACAAAGGCCCTCCCGTTGATCATCGATTTGCTCGAGCGGGCCCAGTAACGTCTCCATTGGAGACTTTGTTGTTACTGTGTCTGGCATATCGAATACTCTCGGTAGCTTGCCAGGCTCTCCGAGAGGGGCGGAGGAATCGAACTCGGGTCGGCCATGTTGGCCGCGTGTAAGGCAAACGCCCTACCCGCTGTGCTATTGCTCCAGCCCTTGTATAGCCCTTGTATAGCCTTGTATAGCCCTTGCTAGTATAGAATTTGATTTTATTTGAGTGCACCATCTTTCTTTATACCAATTTATGCCTGCTGTAATTTTTGCTATATTTCAGTGGTTGGGTAAGTGGTCAAGAAAATGAAGTAATAGGCACCCAGACTGCAAAGAAGTAAAACAGTATTTTTATGGACCAGATATATAGTATAGAGGGTAAGGTACTAGACTTGTATGTAGCCAATCCTGTTTCAAGCCCTGGTGTCATATATGATCCCCTGAGTAGTACTGCACTGTAGCACTGTCCTCCCGTTGTTCATCGATTTGCTCGAGTGGGCACCAGTAACGTCTCCATCGTGAGACCTGTTGTTACTGTTTTCGGCATATTGAATATGCCACAGGGAACTTGCCAGGCTCTGCTGTGCAGGCAGGATACTCTTGGTAGCTTGCTGGGCTCTTCGAGTCGGGGGGGGGGGGGTCCCCTGAGTAGTAACCAGTAATGATCCCTGAGCACCGCCAAGTGAGGAAAGAAAAAAAAAAGACCTAGTGCTTTTAAGTGACATGATTTTATAATCATAATCCTAACACACACACACAGAGTAAAAAAAAATTTCAAATTTCATTAGAGTTTAGGATCGAAGATTGTAATATTAATTACACTGGCTAGGACCTCCAGGAGAAGGGGGGGGAGAGAGAGAGCGAGAGAGAGAGAAAATGCCGAAAATGCCTGTCATAGAGGCAGGCTAGAGCAGGGGGTTGGTGGAGGGTGAGGTGGGTCAGGAGGGTCGTGGGAGGGAAACTGGGGACATTGGTGGTGGGAAATATACATTAGTGAAGGGGTAGGTGTTGAAACAATGCATGACTGGAACTCAATCATGAGCAACTTTGTAACTGTGTATTTCATGGTGATTCAAGAACATTTTAAAAAATAAATTAAAACTGGCTTTAGGAGCCAGAAAGAAGGCACAGTGGGTAAGACAACTGCCTTGCATGAAGCCTATCTGGGTTCTATCCCCAGCACCCCATATGGTCCCCTGAGCACTGCTGCCAGGAGTGATCCCTGAGCACAGTTGAGTGTGTTCTAAAGTACAAACAAAATGTTTGGAAATAGGTAAATACCAGTGTAAAGTCTACAGTCAGTTTAATACCAGATTGGATTAAAGTGGATCTCTCTCTCTCTCCCTCCCTCTGTACTTTTTTTTTTATGTAGGAGTACTGCTATTTATTCAGCCACTGATTAGCTGATTGAATTGGGCATGAACTCCACCTTACTTTATTTTTTCATTTTTTATAATTTTATTTATTGAATCACCGTGAGAGCAGTTACAAAGCTTTCGGGTTTAAGTCTCGGTCATACAATGAAACACCCGTAACTTCACCAGTGCCCATTCTCCACCACCAAAAACCCCAGTATACCCCCATCCCACACCCTCACCCTACCTGTGGGACAGATGATTTCCACATTACTCTCTCTCTACTTAGATCACATTCAATATTTTGACACCAGACCCACCATTATTGTTGGGGATTTTACCCCAACACTCAGATCTACCGAAGAGGCAACAATGGAAAAGTTGTTTTCTATTGCTGGATATGAATAACATATGATGTCGCATGGCTACAGCAGTGGCTGCACGATTTTGAAATTCCAAATTTTAACAATTAAATCTGGAGGGATTTCTGCCAAAACCTGCTGGGTTCCGAGATTTGTTCCTGAGTCTCTGGGATCATGGCCGTTCAGCAGCTTGATCGGGAACCAGAAAGGCCATTCATGGGCGGCAACTCGGGGTCTTGTTGGGATGGGGAGGAAAGGGCCGGCTCCACCCCCATCCCATGAGGCCCCACATGTCTCGTCACTGAGGGCCCAAACCTGACTGTCCAGTGGCCTCTGGAGGATGGCGGCCACTGAGCTGCCTAGGGGGAGCAGGCGGAGGGACAACACCCTTTCCCCCCCTGGGGTGGCCCAGCAACAGTAACCTACTGTGGGTGTGGACGCATTTCTGCCAAAAGCCACTGGGTTCCAAGGTTTGTTTCTGAGTCTCTTGAATCACGGCCATTAAGCAGCTTGTCAGGAGCCAGAGAGGCTGTTCGTGGGTGATGACTTGGGGTCCTGCTGGGGTGGGGAAGTAAGGGCCGGCTCCACCTCCATCCCATAAGGCCCCACGTGTCTCGTCACTGAGGGCCCAAACCTGACTGTCCAATGGCTTCTGGAGGATGGCAGCCACCGAGCCGCCTAGGGGGAGCAGGCAGCCTCTGTACTTGTTGTAAGTCTCCCAGTAAATACAGGAAACCCTCTCTTGGGATAGATGACTCCTAATAGCTCATAATGGTGCATTCAATAACAAAGTTATTAAGTATACTAAGAAACAGGGAGGGACGACATAATAAAACAGACACAAATGATTTAGATGTTGGCATTATGATAGTCAGACCTGACTGACAAAGAGGTATTTTTCATGGAATCAGAATCTCTAACAAAACCTCAAATGGAAATTAACAAAATACTATCACTGGACTGAAAGACTTATCACATAAGTGAGTTACCGTTACATTTC